TATATATATATATATATATATATATTTCTTAACTAAATCCATAAATAAACTGAAATAAAATATAAAAAACATTTAATCTATTACATTTCTCATATTTCTTTAGTTTAAATTTAAGTACTAAAACATCGAAAATATAATTAAACAAAAATATTAAAAACTAAATAGACATATTTAAAAACACAAAACTAGTAAAAAATAATAAAAATGCACAACAAAATTACTAAAAAGGCAAACTAAAATTAAAATGGCAACAGTTTTTACCGAAAGTGTAATACTATATCATTGATACTGTTTTATATGTGAAAATTACAATTGATTCGAATTATAATTCAAAGGATTTTTTAAATAAAATATTTACACTAAATGTAGGGTTTCAAAAATAAAAATAATAATAATAATAATATACACCATGTGTGCAGGTCCATTTTTATATTTTTTTCTTTATTTTTCTTTATAACAGTGTGTAAATTTTGACTACAAAATGTGCTTTGTCATGTCTGGTATTTGAATTGGAAACCTAATACATGACCACGTTTTACTCCATTGCATATTATTTTATGCCCCATAAAACAAAATTTGATGTACGCCACTACTTTATGCTTAGACGCACAGAAAGCTCAAGTCAGTGGGCATTCAACAATAAAAATAATAATAATAATATACACCATGTGTGCAGGTCCATTTTTATTTATTTTTTCTTTATTTTTCTTTATAACAGTGTGTAAATTGACTACAAAATGTGCTTTGTCATGTCTGGTATTTGAATTGGAAACCTAATACATGACCACGTTTTACTCCATTGCATATTATTTTATGCCCCATAAAACAAAATTTGATGTACGCCACTACTTTATGCTTAGACGCACAGAAAGCTCAAGTCAGTGGGCACCTCCTTTCTAAATCTCACTGTTTTGCAGGACATCATATGCAACGGACACTCGCCATTTCACCGTCTCTTACAGCACAGCAGCTCGAAATCACAGCATCATGAAGCCATCGCTGTCAAACTCATCCAAGACGGGAAAACTTCACGATTATTCTGCACGCAAAATGAGCCACAGAAGCATGGAGATTGTAAGGATGGAGGAAATAAATGCATTATCTCTCTGTCTTGACATTAATCACATTCACTGCATTTGTTGTTATTAAAGTCATTAATTTGTGTGTATTACAGCCAGGAGAGGCAGTACTGTGAATGGTGAGTTCATCCTCCCAAAAATGGCTGTGAATGAAGAGCTGCAGCACAGAGCTGAGGAGAAAACGCATCAGCTGCACTGCACTGCCTCATACATCCACGCCAGCAGTGACGTCACTTCCCCCAGTCAGAGGAAACGAGCCTGTCGCAAAGTTCAAGTAAAGAAATCCGCACCGAGAATGTAAGTCACATGATGCACTTGCCTAAAAATTGAAGGAATTAATTTTTTCAATTTTGTTCAGCAACTAGACGAGCAACTTTGCTGTCTAGCTTTTTGTAATGACGATTTAATTTATAGAATGGTGAAGGGAAAATGTTCTATGGTGCGGCTAAATGGTGCTGAATATTGGGATCATAACACCTAGTCCTATTATGCAACTAATTATTGTAAGACTGCTTCAGTAATAAGTACTTTTACTTTACTTTTAGTCATTTAGCAGACGCTTTTATCCAAAGCGACTTACAAATAAGAAAAAGTAATTAAAACTAAAAGCTAAAACTCTATAAATACTATATATATACACACATTTAAGAATTGTTTTTTCGTAGGCGTTATATTAGCCGAAGTTATAATATTAATGCATATGCCTGTTTTCTGTCAACAGTGTGAAGAGAAGAGGCACATAGACATGCTGATCACAAACGGGATTGAGAATGGAATGATGGTAATTTTGGACATGATGAATTCAGTTTCATGATGAACTCTGCTGGATGGATGCAAGCGTACCTTCATGTTGTTCTTGACAGGTCAGATGCATTGAAGGAAAGGGCAGGGGAGTTTTCGCCACACAGAAGTTCCAGAAAGGCCAGTATGTAGTGGAGTATCATGGAGATCTGCTGCAGATAACGGACGCCAAACAAAGGGAGGCTTTATACGCACAAGATCCAGCCACTGGCTGCTACATGTATTACTTCCAGTATCTCAGCAAAACATATTGGTAGGTTCAAGCAGCACACCCACTGTAAAAAAAAATAAAAATTGTGAAATTTACTGTAAAAAAAAAAAACGGCAGCTGTAACCATCATAAACAAAATATACAGTAAAAAAACGTATATTTCATTAACTGATATGTTGTTAATGTAATAACTTTCTAAAGTAGTAAAATCTGTTTTGTACCTTTATAATATACTCACAACCACCAGAGCTTTGATTCATTGTCACTTTCTCATCACAAATAGCTTTTCCACAAGCTGATTTAAATACTATAGAAAGTGAAGGTGTAATACACACAAATACAAAACACCCTCATGGTAACACACATGACACTAAATAAAATAAACAGTACTTGAACAACATACAATTTAACAAAACCCTAATGTACATAACTGATAAGAATAACCAACAAATGTACAATGTCTCACAGGGAATTCTGGGAATGTCAATTTACGGTTTTCACTCAATTATAAGATGACGTGTTCTTTTTCACTTCCAAAACTGTACATTTAACAGTATTTTACTGTAAAATGTAAACTGTGCTGTTAAATGTAAAAATTTAAAATTGTACTGTAAACTTACTGTTAACCAATTATTTCTTTACTGTAGCATTTTACGGTCTTTTATCGTTAAAATTACAACAACAACAAAAATGTTACAGTGCACTTTCCATTTGTTTTATCTAATTTTTCTTGAATTTATTCAAAGGAAAATTGTAGTAAACTGTCCTAAAGTCAAAATTAAAACTGTTTGCAATACATTTTTACTTCTCACCCTCAGGCCATCCAAGATGTAGATGAGTTTGTTTCTTCATCAGATTTGGAGAAATGTAGCATTACATCGCCCGCTCACCAGTGGATCCTCTGCAGTGAATGGGTGCCGTCAGAATGAGAGTCCAAACAGCTGATAAAAACATCACAATAATCCACAAGTAATCCACACCACTCCAGTCCATCAATTAACATGTTGTGAAGTGAAAAGCTGTGCGTTTGTTAGAAACAAATCCATTATTAAGACGTTTTAAACTTCAAACCGCTGTTTGGACTCTCATTCTGACGGCACCCATTCACTGCAGAGGATCCACTGGTGAGCGAGTAATGGAATGATACATTTCTCCAAATCTGTTCTGAAGAAGAAACAAACTCACCTACATCTAGGATGGCCTGAGTGTAAGTAAATTGTCAGAAATTGGCTGAAATATTCCTTTAATTAGCAGTGAAACAATTTTAAACGCTGTCTGAAATCTTGCACACTTCTTCTCCGACAGTGTGGACGCTACGAAAGAGTCAGATCGATTGGGAAGGCTCATCAACCACAGTAAAAATGGCAATTGTCAAACCAAACTCCATGATATTAATGGAATACCTCACCTTATCCTCGTGGCCTCCAGAGACATCCAGGAAGGAGAAGAACTTCTTTACGACTACGGCGACCGCAGTAAAGCTTCGATAGAAGCTCACCCATGGCTGAAGCATTAATGTACTGAGAGGAGGGAAAAACACCTTGTTTCTTAACTAGACCGTTTTTAATGTAATCATTGCCTTAGTAAACAGAATGTTTTGGGCTAGTAAGTGTATGGGTATGTCACACAGTGACTTACATGTCAAACACGTTAGATTGCGGTACATATTCGACGTGTCCTACTTTTAAGATATTTATCCTGCTCTATGACATGCTAGTTTCGGCACATTTCTTTTTGTATATTTTATATATTGGTAGATCAGTGCTTCCAAAGCATGCAGTTATAGTCCAACTTTCTGCATTTTTATAAGAGTTTTCTTAATCTAATCTAATGTAAGGTAGTTAGAGGCTTAGCAATAATTATTTATAATGCCCAAACGTTTATGTTTGAAGCAGAAAGCCGATGCTAAAAGGAGCGACATTTTAAAAGGTTCAGAAAACTGGAATGTGAAACCAAACTTGGATATCATTTGAAATGTGACCGTTGTACAATGCTGAGTGTGTCGTGATTAACTTGAACAAAGCAGTACCTGTTACACAAAAACTGAGTGTTGATGACCAAAAGCTGACTGAGAGTGTTCCAATCAATCTGTATGAGATGGTAGATGCATTGTTTAAATAAATGATTTTATGCAATGCTTTGCCTGTGTCGTTGTATATACAGGGGTGTCCAAAAGTCTGGAGAAAATGCTTCTTATTTATTGGCGAAGGTTTACGACCCTCTCAAAGCGGGCAGCATCGATGGCACAGATTTAGAGCCCCACGACAAAGCCGTCTGGAGGGCCATGATGGCCCGTTACCAGCCTAACAAGGGTGTGACCGGTGACCCTCACCTAACCTTGTTTGTGGCGTGCCTGAATCCACAGACATCTGAGGACAAGCTCCAGGAAGTCTTCTCCAAGTTTGGAGACATCCGCAGGGTACATCTGGTCCGGGACATCGTGACTGGTTTCTCCAAGCGTTATGCTTTCGTTGAATACAAAGAGGAGCGTTCGGTGAAGAGAGCCTGGAGAGACGCCAACAAGCTGGTGGTGGACCAATACGAGCTCTTCGTGGACTTCGAACAAGAGCGGATGCTCCAAGGCTGGATTCCACGGCGACTCGGAGGAGGCCAGGGGGGCAAAAAGGAGTCCGGTCAGCTGAGGTTTGGAGGCAGGGATAGACCTTTCCGGAAGCCCATCAATCTGACATCCATGATGCCCCAGAATAGATCAGCGGATAGATGGGATGCATCGAGTGGGAGGGAGGAAAGGCAAAAAGACCAAGAACAAGATGGGGAACACGGACGATGGCGGGAGAAGAAAAGCGACTGGGATCGAGGGAATGATAGAGGTTACTACAAAGAGAAAAGAGACTCGAAACACCACCGGGACCGAAGCCGAGAGAGAGACTTCAACAGAAAGGAAGACAGACGATACAGAGTCTCTTACAGAGACCGAGAATGAAGCTTTGCATACAAGACTTTCTTTTCTTATTCTAGATTTTTTCCCACTGATGTGGATTTAGTTTGAAATAAAAGTTTATCCAAACAATAAAGTTTAAGGTTGGTAAGATTTTTTTTTTCCCTTAAAGGGATAGTTCACCCAGAAATGAAAATGTGATGTTTATCTGCTTACCCCCAGGGCATCCAAGATGTAGGTGACTTTGTTTCTTCAGTAGAACACATTTGATGATTTTTAAGTCCAACCGTTGCAGTCTATCAGTCGTATAATGCATGGCAATGGTAACAAAATCTATGAGAAAAATCTATCATGGTTTCCACAAAAATATGAAGCAGCACAACTGTTTTTTTAACATTGATAATAATCAGAAATGTTTCTTGAGCAGCAAATCAGCATATTAGAATGATTTCTGAAGGATCATGTGACACTGAAGACTGGAGTAACGATGCTGAAAATTCAGCTTTGATCACAGGAATAAATTACATTTCAATATACAGTATATATCCAATAAAAAAAGTTATTTAAAATTGTAATATTTCACAATATAACAGTTTTTGCTGTATTTAAGATCAAATAAATGCAGCCTTGGAGAGCAGAAGATACCATTTTGAATGGAAGTGTAAGTAACCTAATTTTTGTTTTCCACTTAAGTGAATTTAGTTTGAAATAAGTTAATTCAAACATTTAAATGCTGACATTATTTAGTCATACAAAATGGAATGACATTAAGCTAAGTAAACAATGACTAAATGTTCATGCATCCCTTTAAATGTTAATTTCAGCAATTAGATTTGTACTAAAGAACAAATAATTTGCCATACGAATAGCGTTTCAATGACTCAAGGTTTCTCACAATACATGGTATAAAATAGTTTAATACACAATGAGATGAGTTATGCATAATCCTTCATAACGATACATTTGATCCAGTTCTTGTTACTGGATATCATTCTCAGTTGCGTGACGTACTAGCTGTTCAACAATTGAATTAAGGCCCAAAGGCATGTATTTTTCTAGCTTACAAAGCTGCCTTTATCAACATACTTTAACATAGGTACGCATTTCCACGCTTCTACTCAACACTTCTATTATTGCCAGTGAAAGCACCATTTAAGCAATGCAAAACCGCTGGTGAATGACATTTGTCCATGTGATAGATACTTCAGATGCCAATAGTAAACTATGGATTATTAATATTGTTCTGCTTTAATGTGCTGCAGAAACACTTGAGGCGTGTAAAGCTTTGTTTCATGATTCCAGGTTTTAAAGACTTAATTCAGAACCTGTGACATGCTATCAATTGCCACAGAAAATGAATTTGACTTGCTACTCAGTGTGTGATAATGCATGTACAATAGAAGTATATGGGGCACTGCTATGGGAAAAATGTTAAAATACACGGTTTCGAAAAGAAGTACACAACCGTTCAAAAGTTTGGGGTCAGCCAGATTTTTTTTTAAAGGAAATTAATACTTTTATCCAGCAAGGATGCATTCAATTAATCAAAAGTGTAAAGACATTTATGTTATAAAAGATTTCGATTTCAAATGTTCTTTTGAACTTTCTATTCATCAAAGAATTCTGAAAAATATCACAAAAAGTATGAAGCAACACAGCTGTTTTCAACATTAATGCTAATCAGAAATGTTCCTTGAATAGCAAATCAGCATATTACAATGATTTCTGAAGGATCATGTGACACTGAAGACTGGAGTAATGATGCTGAAAATACAGCTTTGATCACAGGAATAAATTACATTTTAAAATCAAAAATTTTAAATGGTAATACAATTTCACAATATTAGTGTTTTACTGCATTTTTGATCAAATAAATGCAGCCTTGGTGAGCAGAAGAGAAGGGACCAGTTAAAATTATTTTCTGTGATAACCGACAGCACGTCATGAAGGATGTCAATAGACATGAAATTCTGAATACTTGATATTCCTTTAAATTCTCAATATTTCAGTGTGCCAAAAAAAAAAAAAAATCAGGCTACTGTGCAATTTCAAAAAAACATAATTCAACATATAATGCCACCATCCTTTTCAGACAATCTCTGGCCTGGGCGTAGCAACTAAAAATTAAAATCCCTAATTTTTTCTTCAGCCACGTGCATAATTCTTCTCACTCATAATTCAATTTGAATTAAAAATAGATATGTATCTTATCTACTGAAGGCACCTTCTCTTTAAACGTCATCAGAATAATGTCTGAAATCTATTTGTCCGCGTCATCTACTTACAGTAACTAGTCGTTTGCAATAGCAATAAAATGTCTATCTAACAAAATAGGCACATAAAACTCCCTCACAGTATCTTTGGGCGAAGGTGAGGGCCACAATCTATCAGTAACTCTAAACGGCCCCGTCCCCCATGTTCCCTTTGTGAGCTCTTGTCTCATCTGCTTGCAGACGTAGTGCTGTGAAAGTGACCATGAAAGGGAGCGCAAACGTGGCATACGGTCACATGGTGCAGGTTAGTGGTTAGTGTGTGTTCGTTACATGTGCTGTAATGCCTCCTGGGCCTGTTCTGTGTACACGTCCTGTTTCCCCGCCCACGAGCCGAAGCTGTCACCCATCTGCGGCATCCTCCCCTGAGAGCCTCGGTTTTTGTCACGGGAAAAAAAGCTAAACCTGCGAACGTAACACAGGGCGTCAGCACAACTGGTTTGCATTGTCATGCATGAATGTGTCTGTAAATTATGTTTAATAAACTAGAATGTTTCAGAAATGTTTTGGAGTTGTGTTGTTTATTATGTTGCTTTTAAGTACTTTTCAAGTGTTATTTTCTATTGGAAAAAAAAGCACAGCCGGTTTATGGCTACACTGCATGAAGAAATCATATTTCACATCAAAATCAAAATAACAAAAACAAGAATTCTATAAAAAAAAAAAACATTTTTTGCATTATTTTCATGTAATGCAAAAAAAAAATTTCAACCTACTGTACCATAACCTCATCCCTACAGTCTCACTATGGTCTTTCCAGATATAAATTTACAAAAAGCATCTCACAAATGTCTGCTGTGTATTTGTGCTCTTGCTTGACACATTTCAGCTCACACAAGCAGTGATAATCAAGCGTTTAATCTCCCTACACCTCTATAAAGCACTCCTTTAGTTGCCAATATACAGACTCAATGTTATATAGTAGTAACAGCACAGCACTACCGTTAGAGGAGTGAGCGGGACTTTGATTCTGACTGGCTGATTCTAACGATCCTCCTGCTGATTGGTCGCACAGATAGCCCCACAATCAGCCAATCAGAATGTGCTCTTTACGATCAGTGGCTCTAATGAGGGAGGGGGGGTGAGATGAGGGGGCCATGCAGCTCCATCACATGCAGGGAGGATAAAGTGTTAAAACAGCAAAGAACACAGAGGTGAACCACCAAAAGGTCGTACAAGGGAAATAAGTCGTCTGATTGGCTGTAAAGTGGGGTCATCTGGAATCAACCCAGCCGCCACCATCGGCATAATGGCTGTGAAGATCCTGTTACAAAGAGGCACAGATATGGAGAGTTGAGCAAAGAGAAGATACACCCAGAACCACCTGTAGCGTCATTCTGCTTCATCTGGTCACATCCTAGTCTTCAGCATTTCAGATGCATATGGCAGCATTAATGATGGTCATGCCTTAAGATTTTAGTAAAACAAGGGTATATGGATACCAACATGTGTCATAACATGTCATAAAACTCTAAATGTGTCTGTCAAGCTGCAGTTTAGTGAATGTGTAACCGTTTTTAATGGTCTTGTGATTCTTCAGCTCAAACAGCATGTCATGGGTTCAATTCCCAGGGAAATGCATGAGCTGATAAAATGTATACTTTGACTGCAATGCAAGTCGCTTTGAATAAATGCAACAATTTGTAAACATTTCTAAATCAGAAATCAATGTTAACATTCTTGGGCATCATATTTGTGCTCCTAACGCAAAGGCTGTTCCAAACACGAAGGAGCAAAATTATGCTGATTTATAAGATTGATGTTTGTAATATAAGTGTGTGCAGGTGTGTGTACATGTTTGGCTCTTGTAGCAGTACGCACAGTCGTTTTATCCCTGACTCGGGCTGAAAGTTGGAGCGTGAGCTTGGCCGAAATGTAGGAGAGGGGTCTGGCAGTGGTGGGCCTGTTTCCTCCTCCTGTTCGTCACTGTAAATGTGATTAAAAAATAAGTTAGCAATACATATATATTGGGCTTTTCGTTTTAGCACGCTAATTTATCAATTAGTTAAGGAAGAATATCACGATTAAAAACTTTTAACGCAATTAACACACCCGCCCCAGACCTGTAGGTCATCTTACATTTCATACAGTTAACTGTTGACAAATATGATGCAGGGCAACAACTCACTGCATGATGTAGCCTATAAAATGCAGTTATATGCCCTTAAAATGTAAGATATTGGGGCAAAAAATGCCGCTGTATGACTTTTTGTATCATATTGATATCTTATGATAAGCGATATCACGAGCAGCGGGAGTAATATCACACGAGTGCTGTTTTTGTCCCGAATAGCACGAGTGCAAATGTGATTTTATACAACAGTTCAGTAAATAAGAAGTTAATATTGTGTTTTTGATAGGCTACAATATTGTCTGTTTTTGCTCATTTTTGTTGTTTACCAATGGCTTTCATTGTATGAACCAAAAATACTGATGTTTCTCAAATTATCTTCTTTTACGTGCCATAGTTTAAGTTAGGCAATTGTAGCTTAAACATTTATGTGTAATAAAATTTTCTAAAGCCACTTTTTGTAATATCTACTTGATATTTTTCTCATTTAACACAATAATGGCTTTAAATTATCTTCTGGGGGTATTTTCACAGCCAAATGTAATTTACAATTAATTCAATTAATTAATCGCCACATCATGTAATTAATTAGATTACAAATTTGAATCGACTGACAGCCCTAATATGTATGTATGTATGAATATGTATATATATATATATATATATATATATCCATACACACCTACATGTATGGAAGCCACCATGGAATTTCCACTATGAAAGTTTCCACCATGGAATAAAAAAAGTGTAACTTTTTATCGCTATTTTTTATTAATTCGGACTTTTTTTCTTGCAATTGCGAGTTTATATCTCACAATCTGGACTTTTTTTCCTCAGAATTCAGAGTTTACATCTTGCAATTCTTTTTTGTTTCTGCCATGGAGTAAAAAATAAAGAAAGTAATTGCAAATTTTTATCTCACAATTTAAGGCCTTTCCACACTGAGGTTAGCAAAATGAATATCGGATGCGATGGATAAAATCGTTTATTTTATTGCTGGAATAAAACAATAGATTTCTATGGATGCTTCCACATAGACCGCGAACATTCGCGCACCGAAAATGCAAATGTTTTTTTTTTCGAACCAGTCCGACAAATCTTTTCAGTTACGCAAAGCGAAATCACGGGCCGTCCAATAAGATTTTAGCTAGGATCACGTGACCAGAGCAGCTGCTGTTGCACAAAAGGGTGAGAGTGGTGGCGCTGTTTCGAAAACCAGTGTAAACAAACATCAAAGTGATGGTTTAAAGTGGGTAAGCAAATACATTAATAATTACAAACATTTTCAAGTGTAGCTTGATGCTAATTGTACTTCTAATTATATTTTAGGATGTAGCCTATTCTTGTAAGCATTATAGATAATTTGTGTTTCTGGTGTAGAACCAAACTTTGTTTATCTTAATTTAATGCTGTATATTGAGCAGCGGATGATGTTAAATCCATTTACTAGATACATATCTGAGGAAAAATGCATTGTTGGTCGGCGCCACCTAGCGTGCAGGCGTGAATTAGCAGAAGGCGAACAATCATTTCGTGCTCGGTGTGAAAGCACCGCTCGTCGGCGATTCACCTCGCTTTTCCGCATCGCGCTCAGTGTGAAACGGCCTTTAAGCAAAAATATCACGGTTTCACGGTATCACGGTATTGTCGTTACAGCTCTAA